CTCTTCAACATCTGTATCATCATTACGATGTCGAGAATAAACCCTAACTGAACTTCAAGGTTCACCAACATCACCTCTCCTGGGATTACGGCGATCTAGATTTCTCGAAAAACCAAGAGCTTCATTAACTTGATCCCATAAAAGATCATCCCCATGGTGAACTACTTGACTGCCAGAATCGTCAACACATTCATTATCCCAAGAAAACTCTTCTAAAACCAAAGGGTTGAAATTACTTCCTTCTTCATGCCTCTTTTTGAACATGTTGATAATCTTCCTATTGTACTGAACGAACACCAAATCATTCAGTCTCTTATGCTCCAACTTATTTCTTTTCTTGGTGTGGATCTAAATAAATAAATAACTAAAACTTATTATCAATTGAAGTAAGTAGTTACAAACCTATACACTTCAAAAGGATGGCGTGACTTACAAATTCAAACGTACTCCAACTACGTTCGCAACCCGAAGAACAACAACAAAGGCCTATTATGCGTAAAGCAAGTGATTGTAGCTCCAAAGCATGGCCACCAAAAGCATTCCACCAATCAACTAATAAGTAATAATATTCATAAGTGTTTTCAGAATTCAGATTTTATAAGTCATAAAAAATTAAAATAAATACTATTATTTTAGTAACAAGGTATGACTTACGAGACATCTTTGTTTTTTTATGTTTGATTGGCAATGAATTTGGAAATCCTCCTCGCAAGAAATCATAATCATTCACTTGTTTGCTAATCTTGCTCTCCAACTCATCATCACCAATCATCTTATAAACCCAAATCATTAAACAACTCTCGTAAGCATATGCAGTTTCAGTCCTTTTTAAGTCAAAATATCTAGAAGGGTTGAGAAATAAAGCAGTTCCATTCAACTTTACTTCCATTTGATACGCCCATCGATCCTCAATAATCTTCATCAGCTTTTTCAACACTCTGGTCTTACACGCAAATGACTCATTGATTTTGTTCTTAGCTTCTCTCATAGCCATGACAAGCTTGCTCATCCCTATCGACTATCCTTAGAACAACAAGAAGTGGATGACATGCTCTCAAGGTATCCTCCACCCCATTCCAAAACTTAGAAGCAAGAATAGTGCATGATACCCTTTGCCTCACTCTTATACTTGACAACTTCGAATTATTCCAATCGTGACTCACAAACAGGTTCCTGAAAGGTTCTATATACTTGCATAAACTTTGCAAAGTGAGAAATGTTGTGGCAAACCGTGTAACGCTAACCCTCACTAGATCTCTTCCGCCAGTTCTCTCCCGCATTGCACTTAGAATCCTTCTATGCCTATAAATAAAATAAATAAAAGTGGTGCAACGTCTTCCACTATCATTCCAAGGCTTAAACTCAATGAGTTTCCCAATATCCTCCATCATAAGGTCTAGGCAGTGAGCCGCACAAAGAGTCCAGGAAAGTGTGGGTATACGTTGCTCCAGTAGCTTCCCTGCCGCTTTGTAGTTCGCCCCATTATCTGTCACTACTTGAACGACATTCTCTTTGTCAATCTTTTGAATCTGTTTCTCAAGCAATGATGCCAACAGAATTGCATCTTGTGACTCGTGCGAAGCATCAATTGACTCTAAGAAGAAAGTCTTTTCTGGACTATTAACGAAAAAATTGACCAAGTACCGACACCTTTTATCGGACCATCCATCTGACATGAGTGTACATCCACATTGCTTCCAAGCAATTTCATGTTTGTCCTTCAATTTTTCTGTATCCTTCACAGCTTCCTCGAGAAGAGGAACCCTTAATTCATGGTAACTTGGGGTTCCAATCCAGGGCCAAACTGCATGATTGACTCAATCATAATTTCGTAGCTTCTTGAGTTTGCAACATTGAAAGGTATGTCATTCTCATAGAAAATATCAACAATGTGCCCATGAACTTTCGTCTGTTGACTCTTACCCAGAGAATGCCTTTCCTCAATCACTTCTTCAGGTGACATTCTAATCATTGAAGCAACATAAATAGTCGGTTTACCTAGTTTTGTTAATGAATGCTAAAATTTTAGAGTGGACTGCGCTACACGCTTCCTTTTGCTGGTTGTTCCAGAACTAGAAACTGGATGAATAGAAGAAGCACGAGATGATACTTGTGTGACACGATACTCGCCAATTCAACATCTTCATCATCCAATTCAACACTCACTTGCATTTTATTCTTCATTTTGCTCTTCATATAATTGTCTATCTTAGTTCTTGTTTCTGGAGTTGTCTTTGCGCATTTGTCACATCCCCGTAACCGCGAACTAAGTGTTGCTTCAACCATTTAAATCCGGAATGCATCTCCACAAAGTGCGCATTGTACCAAATCTTGGTTATTCTTGTCCGGCCAAAAACCAAAATCCCATCCGGGATCATCTGATTTGGTTTTTCTGAATCCAAATCTAGGATCTTTTGATGGATCCAAACTTTAATTGGTATTTATTCCGGATCAGCCATGGCAAGCACCGCTTAAAAAACAATATTAAATATAAAACTCAACAACCAAAATTTCACTAAAAACTTTAAAAAAATTACTAAATGTAAGAAAACACAGTTACACAACGTACATTTCAGCATAAATTGAAGACACCGAAAAATTATGAAATATAAAATTAAAAAAATACTGAAATTTATTCATTATTTGGGGAAAACTGAAATTTGTTTTCATAAAATTTAAAATTTATTGAAGCAAGTATCCAACTGGAGTAATAACTAAAAAAGTTATTACTGAAATATTAAATATTAATGTTAAATGCAAAGTTGATATACAAAGTTGGATGATTTTACAAAGCTGGATGATATTAATATTAAATACAAAGTAAATAAAAAAGTCAGCACTGTAAAACTAAAATATTAAATACAAAGTTTTTTTGAGAAATTTTAAATACAAAGTTGGATGATTTTACACCCAAGTACCCAACTGGAGTAATAACTAAAAAAATACGAATAACATACCCACACACTAAAGTTAAAAGTCCAAGTCTAGAAAAAAAATTGAAGCAAGTAAAACTGCGGACAATTTTTCTTGAGTGAGCGAGTACAAGCGAGTGAGCTATTTAAGCGACTTATCCAGCAACGGAAATACTTGGAGGAAGATTGAGAGTGCATACGATTGAAGACGGAAGGGAAGCAGGAACATGCGGACTGCGGTCTGCGGGAGATGGATGGGAAGCTGGACCGCAGATGGGACTCGGCGTTTGAGAAGTCGTCTGGTTTATTTTATTTGATGGGTTCAAAAAAATGGGTTTGGGCTTGTTCAAATAAGAGTCAATTCCGTAAATAGGACTAAAAGTGGTAAAATTGCACAAATAGGACTACATTTTTTAAATTCCCTTAATAGGACTATTTATGTGTGTTTGGACAAATGTACCCTTGTAACTTGTGAAATGTTTTAATTAATAATAAAATCATAAAAAAAATAAAAAAAAAAATACTAAAAATCGTGAAAAAATTTATAGAAAATTAGTAAAAATATTTTTAAAAAAATTAAAAATAAAATTAAAAAAAATCGTAAAATTAAAAAAAAAACATTACCACCCCTGCCACCCAGCACCACCAGCTCCCATCACCGGATAAAAATATGCCAACATTTTAAGTAATGCCATAATGATGGCATATTGAAGAGTAATTATGCCATCTTTTTGGCATTTTCAGAAAAAGATGACATTTTTTTACCAAAAGTGGAAGAAATTTCACCAATCGGAGGTGGTGGTGGTGTTGGGAGGCGGCGGGAGGCGGTGGGAAAGGTATCCATAATTTTTCATTTTTTTATGGGTTTTTACTATTTTTTATTATTTTTAAAAAATAAATAAAAAATAAAAAATAAATTTTTTATTTTATAAATGTTTTATAAATTTTTATAATTTTTTTACGTTTTTTAAATATTTTTTACGTTTTTTTATGATTTTATTATGAATTAAAGCATTTCATTATGAATTAATACTCTTAGGGGTATTTAGGGTAGAAAATCAATGTTTAGTCCTATTTAGGGAATTTAAAAAGTAGTAGTCCTATTTGTGCTTTTTAGGAACTCATTAGTTCTATTTAGAACAATTTTCATTCAAATAATTACGTTCTGGGTCGTCCCCTGGGCGTCTATGCCATTTTTCTGACGCCACATAGACACTACTTCGATGCCAAACGGTTTATGGCGTGTCGACAGCACATGGAGAGGCTCTCTTAGTGCCAGAACGATATGGCGACTATAAGGCGACGCCATGACAACTATGGTTATCACGGGAGGGGCATGGCGCTTAACGCCGTTAGAAATCGCCGGAGGAAGACGATGAACAGTAACCTTATTTCCAAAAGTGCCCAAAAAATTAATAGAAAAATACTAAGAGGTGCACCTTGTCAAGGAGACCACAAGATAATTTTTCTTTCTTGTTTCCTGCCACCCTTTTCGCCAGAAAGTCAACAACAAGAACAGTGATATTAGCGAATGCATTTTGAAAAAATAATTCATAATTCAAACAGAGCCAAAAAATCCAAAGAGGAAGATAATTTGGAGGTCTCCTTGATGAGGCGCACCTCCCAGTGTTTCCTTTTAATTTTTCGGCGTACTATTCATCGTCTTCCTCTAACGATTTCTAACAGCGTTAGGTGTCATGCCCCTCGTGTGATAACGGAATTGAAACACATGTCCTACGTTGTTAAAAATGAAGCACATGTCCCTATGGCCCTATTCAAAAATAGGTCATACCACAAGTAACTTACTTTTCTGTACTTTTCCCTAAAAAAGTTGTGTATCAGATTGGAGGTCTGTCAATAGAATTATCTTAAAGACTAAAATACTGAATATGGAGCCATGCCACGAAAGGTGTAAACCTGGAAGTTAGACTTATAAATCATCACATGATATGGATCAGTGTTGTAAAATAATCAAATAATAATCTTCTCAACCTTATTCTGCCGACCAAGTACACCAAAAATACATTTTCCCCTCAGCTTTTGTACAACACCAACAATAGTCATCAAAAAGGAGAAGGGTATAATTACCTCAAATGGAGAGTTGTACTAGAGTCGGAAGAAATTTTTTCAACAATAGCAAGAGCCTCATTAACCTTATCCCCAAGAAGAAGCAGCTGAAAAATAAAAACAAATCAAGAATCATTGAGCAGCACTACAACAATGACCACGTCTTTGTCTATAAAATAGAAATTCTCCCGTGCATTTGTTTATTTCTCATGCTCTAATCCTTTCATAGTCTTGTCCCAAAAGATTCATGCGAGCATATGAATAAGGCATTAAAACAAACAAAAGGGTTGGCAGTTTAACACGGCATGATATTCCGCACGAAGGATATCATAGTACAGTCTAGCACCCCAAAAACAATTCCTAGGATCTTGTTTCCAAATATTATGTTGAGGTCCATGAAGAGAAAAGTAAGCAAGAAAAGAAGCCAATAACATGAACCATTGGATTTGGTCTGTTATGAAATCACTGCAGAAAGTGCCTACAATACCTGTACCAGAGGATGAAATGCTTCAAGTGCTGGTGGCATTAGGGAGAATGCACGACTCAGATACATTACTGCACTATTATACTGATCATTGCGCAATCTCGTATGAAAATCATATAACTCCTCTAAATTTTCCAACTGGGGAAATTGTATAGGCAATAACAATGGCGGCAGACCTATGAATGAGAGTAACTATCAAAGATTATCTTACTAGTACTCATCAAATCTTCAATATCCAAAAAAGAATAAAAAATATAAGCTAGACGAAAGAGGCATCCACCCAACAGTGGAAAATGTGTCAATGCATCAAAAGGTACACAACTTTATTAGGATTTAGCAGTGTGATGAAAATATTCTACTTACCACGAGTGTAGTAACTAGAAAAGGATGGAGGAGAACTGTCATTTGACATCTCAAGTTCACTCCTCTCATCAGAGTGCAAAGAGATATCTTGTGGCTGGTTATCATCTTCACGCTTTATTTCCCGAAGGTTAATTTCAACATCCTTGTGAACTTCTCCACATTTATAAGCACCAGCTTCAATGTATTCTTTATCGTTCCGAATAGATGTGTTGGAATCACATGTTATCAATGAACTGGGTTTTTTCCCTTCAGATGCACCTTGCCACTTTGAATCCACAATTGACATAAACATATTATCTTGTGATATTTCTGGTTGTGTGTTGCTTTCAAGTTCTTCCTGCTTACCCAAATGCATCTCTGCTGGAAGACTGGAATACCATAGCTCATAAAATGTCAACCCTACAACTAAATTTGAAATTGGATCACTCTCAAAACCCCGCTCCTGCATTAGACTGATGAAACCACCATCAATAATCAATACTCAAAATATAGAAAAGAGCAGATACTTCTCAACCACATATGAAATTAAATTCATTTGGGCATTCAAGTTAAGCAGTAAGCCAGTAAGTCAGTAACTTTCATATATATGTTGTTATTATGAACATCTACCAAATAACACAAGGGTTATACCTTAAAGCAGCTTGATATGCACCATCCATCTCCTTCCTTGTCAAACAGAAAACGGTGTGTTCCAATTGAACTGCGACTTTATTCTGACAAAAAAAAAGTAATTTTATATTGTCGTAAGAATGCCTATTTAGCATTAGTGGATTAACCAAGTTATATCCAATACTATGCATTCACTCCCAAGTTGGTAATTTAGGTAGAACAACATTGAAGGCTATATGCTCTGTTTGTCTATTCAAAAAAGGCCCAGGTGTCGACTAGTCTCTAGGCGGCAGCCAGGCGCCCTAATTTTAGTCAGCTCAGTTCAAAATCATTCAACAGGCTAGTAGGACGCCTAGACCCAACTAATCAGGCGCCTAGAACTGGTTTTATAGGATTGAACCTGAACTTATTCATGGGTGTCAAGTAAACAACTAAGAAACTAAGGCAACAATTTTGTACCATTTACAAACATTATATGTTTCACATTTATCGAACATCAATCAATTTATCAATTACATAATTAAGCTATGAGATTAATTGTAAATTAATACGTAGTATTAAATTTTATGACTATCATTCATACATGTTGATATATGTGTGTGTGCGTGTATTTTCTACACACCTGGGCTCAAGGCTGGCGCCCAACTAGAGCATAGAGAGCTTTTGAAGACTGACAATATGTCAAAATATATGTAATACTGTTTCATGAATTATTTACCATTGCTTTCTAGCTGCACGTCATACATATACACTCTGTAAGCTAAAAAAAATGAATAGAGGGAAAGGGGGGGAATTAAAAAATCATATTTACCTTAATAGGCCATTTCTTCATAGGCCCAAGCTTTGACATCCACATCCCATAGACATTTTGGATCTTTCTTAAACTGAGGGAGTCACCTTTTAGATGTTTGAGAACCTCCAGAGTAGCCTACAAATGTTGATTTTAATATACATTGATTAGGCAAACCGATACACAATGCAGGAACCCTAAACAATGTCAACCATACTGTTTTTATGATGATAATCTAAACCATAGTATTTCAAATTCCAGTTTTTGTGTGTGTACACAGATGAAATACAAAAAATGATACATAAGGCAATTATATGAAGACTCTGCATACAAATGACAGACCAATAATTGCATACCACTGTAAACTTAGAAAAGAAATTGCATACAAGCCGAGTAGGAATGCAGCATCTTACTAGTTCATACCGAGAACTTAGCTCGAGTCTTACGAATAGCAATTTCTTTAGAAGTTGCTATATGAAGCACGCTCAACACTCCACTCGCCTCAGTCCAGTTATGCCGCCGCAGCAACACCTGCAGTAGTCGCCGCAATTTCTTCCGGTGTATAGAGCGTATACTAGTGAAGTCTCGGCGTGCGCTCCCTATGCCACGCTTCAAGCAATATGAAGGCATCGCCTTTGCCAATACCACGCCATTGAATTTCTGGGTCTTTGTGGATAAACTCGGTTCCGAGTCGGAATCGTCACAGAGTCTCCGACGAGCCCTTCCCCGCTTCGTTTTCGCATCTTCTGATTCCGCTTCTTCGGCTTCCATAGAAAATTCTACCTTTGCATTCAGTTCTTCGGCTTCCATAGAAAATTCTACCTTTGCATTCAGTTCTTCGGCTTCCATTGCAGTGGAAAGATCAAGAAAAATAATGCCGGCCTAACGTCAAGAAGGGCTTATTTAGAGCATCAACTGTCGGGCTGGTTCACGGGAACGACCGGGCAAATTCGTTGTCCTACGTTGAATTTTGATTTTGGTTAGTTAGTTATATAGATAGGGTTTTATAGGGTTTGAACTTTGGCCTTTTTATTTGAATATTATTACAAAAAGATACTCCTAGGCGTATCTTTTTATTTGAATTGTGAAGTATAACAAAGAAGAGAGGAATGATCCTGTCCAGCCGGAGGAACAGGATCTGCCGTCTGGTAGCGCCATTTGGGACGGTTTCCGTCAGAATTTTTTTATAAAATTTTTTGAGAATGTTTTTCATCAAGTCTAGTTTATACACAAAAAAATTCAACTAAAAATTCTATCGAGAAGGCAGTCAAACGAATTATGGAAGATAACCGGCCCTTTGTGTACATATAACACGCAGTTATCTTGAAGATACTCTTGGGGTCCGATGGATAAATGGCGTTTAACTTAAAGGAGAGAATGTGTGGGAATTCTCCCACACAACCGGGACTCACAACTTATGAAGAAATTATGTCTAATCCGAGGTAGGATTTACAAAATGTACACCCGCTATTTTTGCAATCCTTTACAAGTTTTAGCCTATTTTGCTCTTTGAATGCTTCATGTGAATGGATGGACTTTTCTCAACAAGACAGCAGGAATGAACTTCTCCCTGGATTCTTGGACTTCTCTCTTCCATTCTTTTTTCCCCTTTATTTCAATAACTATAAAGTTCTTCCTAAAGTTGATTCAATTTGAATTCTGAAAAACATTAAAGGTAAGGGAAAACTGTCAAATAGATCTTCGAACTTTCAAAAAAAAAGTCAAATAAGTCTTTATATAGGAGCCTCTATCCGGCCATCGCGATTTGGGGTGGTTCCCGGTGAATTTTTTTGATGAACCTTTTTTAGCATCTTATTCATCAAGTCAAGTTTACTTATACCGAATTTCAGCTAAAACTTCAATCGGGAACGCATTCAAATTAATTCTTGAAGATAATTGTTCATTTAACTGTACAGTTATCTTCAAGAATTAATTTGAATGTGTTCCCGATTGAAGTTTTAGCTGAAATTTGGTATGAGTAAACTAGACTTGATGAATAAGATGCTCAAAAAGTTTCATAAAAAAACTCCACCGGAACCGCCCCAAATCGCGACGACCGGACAGAGCCTCCTATATAAGGACTTATTTGACCTTTTTTTGAAAGTTCGAGGACCTATTTGACAGTTTTCCCTTAAAGGTAATGATAACCTGATTGAAACATCTTTATCACTCTATTTATTCAGTAATGATCTAATAGTTTCATTCAAATGATTTCTAAATAGTGATGCCCACCAACTGTTTGTAAAAATTTCGAAGTGAATTTTTATTCATTTCTTAAGCAAATTTTAATAAACTTTGGTGTGGTCGAATATAGTATTGACTATGTAGAATTTATTTTGCATAATAGTTCTTTTTAGCATTGATTTATATAGCTCTTATGCTACTTGAGTTAAGGAATTCTTGATTTTGTTTGTTATGTTCTAAGTTTTATTTTTAAACAATTTCCTATTAGATTTCGTGTTTGGTTTTTATATATTGGATTCAACTATTAATGATTCTTAGGTGATGTTTTGAGCGATTAATGTTATACTTTCTATCATTGCATTTAAAATGAGCATTCAACAATTTACAATGTGCATTGTGTTAAAATCGATTGAGCTTTATAGTTAAGTAAGATGTATTCTAAGTTATTTGTAAAGAATATGTTACATGTGTGAGTTATAGAAATGATTTTTATGTTATACATATATGAGCATCACTTTCAAAAAATGAGCATTGCTATAACATTATAATTATAAAATGAGTACACAAAATGAGTTTTATGTTATACCCAAACGAGTATAATATTCACACGAAATGTACATTGACATCACATTTAAAATTTTTATTCTCAATTGCAGAGTTTCTACGTTTAATAGAGGAAATTTGATGCTCAATTCAATGAAATGTCTTGATCATATTCCAAAAGTTTAATATTAAATTAGATTCGTATATTGCAATCCATAAGAGACTATTATTGATATAATTTAAACAATTTATATAAACGAAGAAAAAAGAAGAAAAAAGTGAACAAGAAGTTATGAAGCAAAATTCACGATGTTCAATAATACTCAACAGAACATGTTTAATGCTCATTAAAAGTTCATTGATGCTCATTTAACAGAAATCATGATTTTCATCTCAATAGAGGAGGTTTGATGCTCAATGAAAATATCATTATATTAAACTAACAAACCTTGTGATTATAATACCAATGAACATTTTGTAAGTTACGCATACTCATTTGGTACTGATGTCATGCTTATTTTAAAATTTCATACCAATGTATATTTCAAAAGTATCATATTACATGAAATTTGCATATTGGAATTCATAGGAGTGGGATATAGATATAATTTAATAAGTTTTTATAAAAGAAAAAATGAAAAAAAAATTATGAAATATGAAGCAGAGATCGTGATCCTCATTGTTAGGCTCCTAATACTCAATATAATAGGTTATGCTCACTAAAAGTACATTAATGCTCATTTAGCGGAAGCCATGATTTTTCGCTTAAATTACAAAAAAAAACGAAAAAAATCAGGTTATCTTAGTTAATGAGTTGTCTTCATTAGTTGTTGCGGATGTACCTACACCCGCATGTAGGATATAGGGACTCGTAGAAGTAGGGGTGAACAAAAAAAAAACCAAATCGACAAAACCTGAAACTGATTAAAACCAATCGAATTAGAAGTAGTATGGTTTTAGAAATAATAATTGGTATAAAAAACTCCGGCAACATATTTGTAAAAAACGTAGCTCCAACGACAAATCGGTAAAAAAAATAAAGCTTCAGTGGTAAATTGATCAATTTTTATAAATGAGACACTATTAATCCGCAACTTCAGAATTCCCGGCTTTTAGTCTTCCAAGTATTGTGAAATTGACATCTTCAATCTTTCTAATTTGATTTTGTTATGAAAAGTGGAGAAATAATAATATGGATAAATAAATAATATGGATATCTTTATATATAATAATATGATTCTATAACAAAGCACTGAGAGTAGTAGAAGAGAGCATAACAAATAAATAATATGGATATTTTTATTTAAGTATTGGTTATTAATAATTTTGTTCCTACACATTATCTTGTTGGATCGGGCTTCATATCCGGCCCTGATCCCCAATGGTTGTACAATTTGAAGAAAACAAATGACGTTGACTTGGACCAAGACCGGAACGGCTGGTCTACCCGACTAGGTGTGGGACTGGCTATCCAGCGGGCCGGTCCCGAGCCTTCCTTTTATTTGGAAAGGACCGGATCAGACCGGGTCCACCATACCTAGCTATTATCTAGCAACCAAACGATGATCGTCAAATATCCTCCTGGATAGTTTTAGTTCTCCACTTTTCATAACAAAATCAAATTAGAAATATTGAAAAAGTCAAATTCACAATACTTGAGAGACTAAAAATCGGGAACTTTGAAGTTGCAAATTAATAGTGTCTCGTTTATAAAAAATTGATCAATTTATCACTGAAGCTTTGTTTTTTCACCAATTTGTCGTTGGAGGTACTTCTTTTACCAGTATGTTGCCGGAGTTCTTTTATACCAAATGGTAAAGTGCCTTTTTTTTTAAAGTAATTTGGTAATTTGCCCCAATGTTGATTGGTCTAGAAATCCTTAGTCTAGAGAATTGAGTTGAGTAACTTTTTTTTAAAATGATTTTTCTTCGTAGATCTAGTACTCCGTAATATATTTGCATAGCAGCTCTAACAACGTACAATTTTGTACCTCACTACGGAAAACAATTCATTGTAGGTGCTTTTATGATACAACAAAAAAGCTAATTAGTCAAAATGAGGCATTAGCTTGAACAAAGAGAATTATTAATATAACATTATTAATAATAATGAATAGAAAAACGTTATAGCTAATCATTGTAATACATTTTAATTTTGCTGCACATGTTTATGTGGCTAGCCAAATTATGAGGGTAATTAGTTAATTGCTGGAAATGCTCTAACAATACCTGCCGAGATCACAAGCTGGCACTTGACTCCCCTAGATCCCCCCATATGATGGAAAAAAATCTGAATAGGCCCTCAACCTATCATTGATGTTCTTTCTACAATTTAATTAAGATGAAATGCTTCTCCAAATATTTCCATGCATTGCACATACAATTGCTTCCTCCATGACAACTGGTCAGTGACAAGTCAGGTCTTCGGTGGAGTGATTTGGTAATTCAACGTGCAGCAGCCTTTCGCCTTTCACCAAAAGAAGATCCTCGGCAGCGCCTGCTTGTCTGGTTTGAAAGCTCTCTCCATCACACAGCCTTTAGTTCAATTTCAGCACTCTAAAGTAGGGTGAAGAGTCCTCTACTCCTGTTTCAAGCATTTTATTGTCCGGTCAACAAAGTGGCCTGAATTCACTCAACTAGGCATACAGCACAATTGGCTTAAACCACAACATATAAAATCAGAGCTAAAAAAGATACAACAAAACATGTGGACTCCTTCTAGGTTAACCTTTCAGAATGGAACTTCAGATCCTAACATTGTATGTGCTCCTATGAAAAAATGATCTTAACACATCACTCGATCTTCTACGTACTAGGCCTAAATCGCACTAAAAGGTTAAATTCAATTATCTTCAATTCTCCTGGAAGGTATTTTAATGCAATGATTTCCAAGTAGAGGAATGTGTTGAAGAGAATGCCCGGGAAAGAGAATATATCTCACCTTTACGTTTGCAAGTCTTGGGAGCCTGTTACAGTGACTTCTTTAACCATACAGATCCAGGAAACACCATCATGTTTATATCGCTCAAGCTTCTTTTATCATTCTCTTCAAAGGGTTCAAAGCCGAACCTCATAGTCCATGTATCCACTAAACTGGGAATTGCAGAAAGCACTAGTTTCTCAACCTTCAATGATTTTAACATCTAGAGCCATCATTCAAGTTAATCCATGTTAGTGGGAACATAATACATAAAGCTTAAAGCATCAAAGGTCAAACCCATCCCACGCCACATAATCTCATATAGATGGCTCAAACAAAATAACGGGGCGCCTGTACTTTTAAGTGAACTATAATTGATATCAATGATACGGAGTAAGATTATTAGAGTATTAAAAATCATAGTTTACTTAGTTTAGTAGTATTATAGTTTCTTATTCTTAATAGGTTCAAGAGTTGGATTTCCAATTCCTACCAAAATATAAGCATTATAAATTATAATAGACTCCAGAAATGAAGTTGTAGATTAAGTCATATAAATAAAGCTAGCAGGTTATTATTTGACAAAGATGTTTGATTTTTTTTATATACCTCCTCTATGCAATTCATTAGCCGACGACACATTCCCTTGCGGCGGTATTTGGTGCAAGTTGCAATTAAAGGTAACTCTGCTACCTTAGTCCCATGGATCCTGTTTCATGTGATGATTTTCAGAAGAGCAACTTTTATCACTTCAAGGAGAAGCAAGGAAAGAAAATACAGGAATTTGGGGGGGGGGGAGTGCATTTTGAACAACCATGTCACATTTTTGTTTGTCATACATTTCTCATTATTTCTTTATTAAAGAAGGTTTGACTATAAGTTACCTAATTGAGGCTACCGACACGATAATGTCATCATCTTCTAAAACAGCAGTATAAAATCCACAATAGTCCAGTCTCCCAAGATGTGATCTGCAGAGAAGTAAAGTAAAAGGCAGGACTTTGGAACATAATAAAGAGGGAACGATAATACAATGTCTGCACACACCTCCGGTTATAGATCACTTGAGGTATCATATCTATGCCCGTTTTAGGATCCACCATTGGAAGAAAACTTTCCTCCATAATGGTGAGAGCCACTGCTAACTTGGAGTTGCATTCTGCATTAAAAGGAGGAAGCTGCTGGACAGAATGGTTGTTCTTGTCACGAGGGATGCACTTCAAAAGTGTCCAGGAGAAGCCATCACTTAGCTGATTCGGTAGTCCAATGAGAGACTTAAGATGGGTGTAAACCTGCATAAAGTGGATCAGAACGAACCACCGAAAAGCCGGAAAATAGAAAATTTAACATGTCGCAAATACAATGGATTTGTTTAGACTGTGGAAAATGTTAGGGTAAGGAAGAAAATGATGCCAAGAAAATTAGTTTTTTTTATGTCTGGTTTAACCTTGGAAAGTATTAAGGAAGCATCTAATTGGATTAAAACTCTGAAAGTTTGTACATCAGTTTGCATTTCTTAATCTTTACATAATAGGAAAAAAACAAAACATATTTATAGAACTGATTAATTGATTTTGAACCAAATTATAGTTTTTTCCTAATCCTACGTTCCTTCTCAGTTCCTCTAGTAGTCTATTTTCCTCTCTATTATCTTTCCTTAAATTTTTACAAGTTCCAAATGGGGTCTAAAGAAACTATGCATTCAAAAAGTTGGCAATGACAAACATTTCATCCCAGAGTTGAAGTACGTGTCTGTCGTTAAACGATTTTAGGCAACTCATGAGTAGCTTTGGTTACATTATAAGTTGCACATTTTGAATTACTTGCTGTTTTTCCTGTGTCACTATATCAAAACATCACACTTAGCATTTCTTTTGTAGTTAAGACTCTTATCAATGTGTAAAGTTCCTTGAGTGCAGTCTACAGTAATTGACCACAAAAGTTCTTTATATTATAGAGTGAAACAAATTTAATATTATAATGGGGAGACTGTTTACCTTCTCACATTGGTCACTACATGACCAGTGATCAGAAGCAACTCCACATTCCATGCCTTTTTGCTTCAAGCAAGCCTCATGGTCTATTCATAATTATTAAGACAATCCAGTAACCAAATAAAGTCAAGAAAAACAAAAGTTTACAACAAAATGAAATATGAAAATAAAATATAGAAATCCATAGGGAAAGAATAAGGTCTCATTAATAATGCTAGGAAGATCTTGCGAAGTGAAACATTCACAGGAGAGCAAGCTTACATCGATGTTCGCATTGTATACACTTGTGTGCATTAGTGAATGCAGAAACTTCAGTATTTTTTACCACATCCCCGCATTCTCGGCATGCACATTGTGAGCAATACCAACTCCCTTCTGGAAGTTCCTGAAGCCAGCAAGTGATAACTGTGATTAATGAATGCATTCTTGTATGTTCATAACAAGGTATCCTCTAATTCCGTTGAAGAGAAAGCATTACTTGTTAAAATGCAGAAATCGTAACTAAACTAAATAGAAGTAGCACTACATTTTATGCATCATTTGTAATACTTTTTAGCATGACAATGTCAACTTTATGCAAGTTTTCTAAAACTTATCACATTGTCTTTTATAGTTGTATTTGCCAACTCACATATTTAAGAGACGACAAGTGTTTTTTTGTGTATTGAAGAATGGAATTAAGATCCAATACATACAAGACATAGATGCTCATGTCCGAAGAAATCCTCCTATTGAACTTAGGAATTGAGATCCTACACACAAGACATAGATACGAATGTTTGAAGCAGTTTTCCTAGTATCATAGTACACTAATCGAGTACATTGTATGAGTACAAATTCTACTTGACTTACCATATATATTCTATAACTGTATATCTTATTACCATATATTTTCCTCCTCTCAAGATGGTCTGCCATGCACAACTTCTTAAAAGAATAAGAAACATTAATATCACTTAACGCCTTCGGAAATAAATCCCCCAATTGTTCTCAGGTTTCACATAACCCGTTGAAATGTGACCTTTGAAATGCATTAAATGTCAATGGATCTCAATATGCTTTATTTTCTCATGAAAATTTAGATTAGATACAATGCAATTTGCAGCCTGTTGATCATGTAATTACGTCACGACTTGAAGGTATTGGTGTTGCGAATTCATTTATGTTCTTAGGTTTCTGCACTTTAACTAGATGTAATATTCAAATTTCCTTTTATCCTACCGATGAATATCTATAAAACATTATATGCTTATGCTAATATAGAAAACAGTATATATTCTACCTGATTTACCTTTCTATTACTATATGTAATATATGATAATCAAATACATGATATATATTTGATTACCATATACTCTAATATTAGCATATACTCCTGCCTCATTATCTTTGTCTCATCCATCCTTGATTGTCCATCCTAGTGATCTCTCTAACTTTATCTGAAACCATATATTCCTGCCCCATTATCTTTCTCTCTCTGATGCATGTAAAAGGTTATTGTCTTATTGAGTATTGGAGTATATTGCAAAACCAATAACCGAATCCAACAAAAAACCAAAATCTCTAGAACTATAATTTGCATACACTTAAGATGCAGTGCTTGAATGAATTGAAATGAAAGAAAGAAATGAAGGCCATTATTGATAGAACACTGGTAGAATACGACTAAGAACAGTAGAGAATCCAAGAGAATTGATCAAGAGAGTGTTTATTGATTTAGGAGGTATGTACAGAAGGTATACAGTTCATAGGAACATTCGAGATGCCCAGTCTCCAAAGTCTAAGTCCAATTAAAATAACAGCCTACTCCTTCTAGCTATTAACCTTCTATTTATAGCCTTCATCCACGCTGGGATGTAAAACTGCTAGCTAAGTAGCTAACTAATTAGTTAACTAACTAACTACTCTTTTATTCCTCCTGTGATAAGTCTTTTTAAAGTATTCAATAGGCTGCTCATTCGCATGCCTATCAATTATCTGGTCATGGAGTAAAGAGGAAGAGGGTTAAGAGCATAGGTGACTTTTGACCACTATATTTTGTTTCCTGAAAACTAGAAAGATCGATGCTGGATGTAACTTCTAACTTACCTCTTCTGTTAAAACATAACTAAATGAGCATTATTATACTTTAATATCATAAATCCATGATTGCCTGTACATTATTTTTGGACTCTCTTCAAAACTGCCCCCTAAAGTGAACAGTTAAAAAATCGAATCTATCAAACGGATTGACCGCTTGGGACTTACACTCAAGCATTGGGGACTCTTTACAAGTTTTAATGTGAACTGTCTGTAAATTTTGAATTTCTTAAACAATCTGTCACTAGAAGAGTAGTGCTGTTGGAGTTGAATATGTAGATGCACACTCAGATAAATGAACCACATGAACTGGGACACTTCCACTACACCTCTGGAAAGACAGGTGAATGAAATCAAGCGTTAGGCAAAAGGGAGTGGATTTGAGGCATGCCCAGGAATAAAATTGGTCATAATGTATATGGATCAAACCAACAACAAAAGGTCTATTTCAGTGAATTAGCTGGTTGAATCTATAGCACGAGACTCCCTATTTTTTGGCTTGGGAATATGGTGGAATAAAGAAAAATGGCTAACTAAACTGTCTGCGTTTCTTTGTTATGAAGCAGCAGTCAGGCCACACAATTTAATTTTGACGCGATTTTCATCATGAGTCATCCAGAAATTGTCTCTATGTGCTTTAGTACAGTGGTAAGGCTGCATACATCCGACCCCCCCTTACCCCACCATTGGCGGGAGCCCGTCACTGGGATAATGCTATTGTTGTCTATTTCTGTTTAGCTCTTCAAAGTCAGAATCCTTTCATGAATTCAACTTGATGCTATGAAAACCAAGTACCAACAACTAGTACCACTATCATTCAATAAAGTAGTAACGGAAGATTGAATTTAAACCCCATTTCGCCCAACTTTTAATTAATAAAATTGGCACCCAAAGCTAGAAAAAACTTTTAATAATGAGGTACAAACTCCACTTCCGAAGAAAATGGGGTGCAAATTGTAAAGATTTAAATATGGGGTGAAAACTCACGATTAGATGAAAAAGTGGGGTGGGAACTCCAATATCCCCTGACTACTTAGTACCCATTCTCATTTGTACAAATAAGAAATATTAAAGCTTTCTATTAGTTTTTTCCCATACCAAAGAACTGTAGAAATTTTAAAGACACATAATATTAAAGTATAATTATGCATAGTTATGAGATTACCAAGTTGAAATATCTCTCTGTTAGCCATCGTGTGTTAGATAGTCCTCAAACAAGCATTTAGTTAAGAAATAAGCAGCATCAAGGTTCCTAAGAACAGGATCAGATTAGCAGAGGTAGCTTCCAGTGTGAAGTCAAATGTTTAGTTAGGTGTATCCTCACACTTCAAGACGACAAGCTATAAACTTTAAGAGAGTAAAAAAATTAGGCAAACAGACTGAATTTATTATTACAAAGAAGTAAGCAATAAAATGTCTAACCTGTGCATACAAGCATGCCTGATGAAATGTAGATGGACAGTTATCACAACATATCAACTCCCCACCCTCACCACAACGCCCACAACTATCATCATTTTGATCCATTGCATTAAGCTGTGCTGCTTGAGGATCTGGTTTCTTAGCCTTGTATTCAGCTAACCATGCCTCAAGCTGACAGAAGATGAATGGCTTATTACTAGTTTCCATGAAGAGATTCAAACTTGGATGGTTCAGCTTGCAACCAGCGTGACTCTTGAACTTGGAGATAGATAGCACTTCACCACAACACTTGCATAATATGCCTTCTCTAGTAATTGAGCCATCTTTCACAACAAAACAACCTTGTGGACCTTCCCGATATTGGATCACTTCGTTAGTTGAAATTGTCCCGGAATGAATCAACCATGACAACACTGTTCTTGGAGCATAAGCAGGCCACTTTCCATCCAAGGGCTGTTTCCCACCACTCCTTTTCACGCCTCGCAGAAGTAACCTGCAATGACCTTTTTGTTGCCTCTTCTTTTTTAGTGGTTTTGATTTACCAAAAGACCTATTTTTTGCAGAACTGGATGCTTTATTTTTAACGGTAGCTGAGTTAGAAACACCACCATCCTTTACACACAACTTTTTACACTTCTTTGGCTTACTTTTTTTGCAGGCACCCTTTCTAGAGGATAATCCAGCCTTACAATTGGATGCCACTGTGTCATGTTGTTGCGGATCTGTCAAAATGATCTCGGAGAGCAGTTTTGATTTCTTCCTTACCTTCATTTTAGGGTAGGATTTTGCACCTAGAGAAACATCTTTGATCAGAGCTTCTTCTTTGAATTCTTCTTTGCTTTCTTCCTCGTGACACAGATATAAACGTTTTCCAAAGTTAACAGAACTTCTATTATTGATTACTGCCTCTGTTCTTCCCCACAAGGTTAAGGTTTCATTCCCTAAATAGACTGGAACTTCAAGCAAGCAATTGTCTTTGTCATTCTTCAATAGTCTCCTATGTTTGGGAGACTGCCGATTGTCATTGTCCAATGAAGACAGCGACCTTTTTTTAGGATCATGATGTACCACACGTTGATCAGACCATTTTTTATGTATAGATTGATCTTCATTTAACACAACACTAACTGCAATAAGAGAAGATTCACTAAACTCAATATTCACATTTGGAGATTCTTTACTTCTTGAGAATTCAGATTCATCCAGTTCTGTGAAGGAAGAATCCTTATCTTTCGACTGGGCTAGATGAATAGTGTTGGCCTGATGAGACTCAGTTGCACGATTCTTCAAAGAAACGGATGAGACAATGTCTTTACTAACAACATCTTTTTCATTGAACTTAGAGGGTTTCAATATTAAAGCATCCTTTCCGGCGATTTCATTTTCTCTATTCAGCTGATTTTGCAACTTCTGCAGATAGCAACCACAAATAACCTCTTTGTTATATGATTCAACTACATGATGAGTCACAATCTCAGAAGTTACTTCTACAGCAGCATCCAAGGAACCCAATGAGTTTAATGAACTTCTTAAATGAGGCCTGGTGTTAGAAAGCTCTTTCCTTTCATGCACTTTTCTTCGAGAGATTGCTTCCTTTGAGCAGTAAGACTTCCCATGCCCAATGTTTCCTTTTTCATCATCACGTTCAAATTTGATATTTCCGGTCACATTACACTTTCTTTTGCTTTCACTATTATCAAAGAACACCTTTGTAAAGATTTGATGCACATTGAGTGACCCATCAAATCTATCATCATGCAAGTCATAAATTTCTTTACGAAACATTTCCAATTAGTACTACTTTGTTCCAATTTGCAGTGATTCCAACCAACCTAGCAAAATAGTACTTCAACGGGTCAGTTTTTGTACTACAATCTTTTAAATGCCTTTAAAAGATTTTTAGAAATTCGCGATTAGATTTTTGACTCTTGGACTTTACATGAAAGTGAAAACCATCATACTCATACCAAATCCTAGTGAAAATCATTGCAAATCTCCAAAGTTACAAGTAGCATGAAAAAAAGTAGTGTCAATCCTGTATAAATTTGGACTTGAGTCAATCTTCACATAAAGGCCCATATAAATAGTGTACTCCCTTTGTCACGTTGGAAGGTTCGCGTGAGTAAATGAAACATTTTTTAGGCAAGGGGTTAAATAAAGTAATTTGGGTAAAAAAGAGAGGAAAGAGAAAATTTGGAAAAAGTAAACATATTAAGTGAAAGTAATTAAAGGGACATAAGTTGGGGAAGGAGAAATTCTGACAGTTGACAAGTAATGAGTAGGAAAGAGAAATTTGGGTAAAGATGTAATTAATGAAAGTAAATTGTTTACTAAATTAGAATAAGAACATTTAAATGGACCATCCAAGTAAGGAAAGTGAGAGCCTTTCACTAGATAATCATACGCACATATAAAAGTTATAAATAAACAGTGTTCCAATCACTGACCTCGACACAAATCAAAATATGCCAGAAAGTATCTGACCCTCCCCGGGCTGTCCAACCCAACCCGGTTACTGTTCATAGTCAATCTCTTCTCAACCTCCTGGCAGCAGAGATATGGCCCGGCTCAGGGGTACACCGCGCGTCTACCAGCAATGAAAAAAATACAACGGCCATAGCCGATTTTACAATGCGGAATCAGATCGTTTAGTATACTATCGTATATGTCTGTACATATATATAACTCAATCCTGAAGTCATCGACTAGCTAGCTACTTGAATTTAGGTGTGCTTTTCCGGTGGGTTGATGATGATGAATTGATGATTACTACATATACATACATCCCTCATTATGCATGCATGCAAAATTTCCTCAGCTTACGTACTATTAGAGATCAATGCATGTGCAGATTAATTACCTTAATTACCTTAATTACAACGGCCTGTTCAATTCGCAGTTCAGCCTTCCGCCACGACTCTTTCAATTCTCGTTTCAAGTTTATCGTTTCAATTCTCGATCATCAGCTCGTAAGTACGTATGTATTTAGATTTAGAATTTATTAGAATTAGAATAGGTCGCGCGGTTAACTTGATCCGACCTTACCGCTGCATGTGCTCAATTTACTACGAGTAGTAGTGTAGTACTACTACGTTTATGATACGGATCGGAGTACATACATACTTCAGGTGTATACAGGGTAAAAATTTATTTTAATAACATTTTGTTATATTTGATTCGTTTTAAATTAGCATCTCTGTCCCCTAAGATTGAAAGGAGAGTGGTTGATGATTTAGCAAACAATATGATAAACGGAATTACGAGAAATATTATGAATTCTTCGTATTCAACCTTCGTCCAGATACAGCATATAAATAGGCTCAAAACTAGAGAGATGTGCACGTAATGCTAGGCCTAAGAAAGGAAAAACAATCCTGGTGGTATACATTATATTTTCTTAACTAAAATAACAAAGCTTATAATAGTAGTAATATATGCTTGATACCCCCCTCAAGTTGGAGCATGGGGATCAAGAATGCCCAACTTGCGCAATAGAAAGTGAAACTGTGTCTTTCCCAATGCCTTGGTAAAAATATCAGCAAGCTGGATCGTAGTTGGAACATAGCTCGGAGCAATGAGATTGTCTTGAATGGCATTGCGAACAAAATGACAATCTACTTCAATATGTTTAGTGCGCTCATGAAAAACTGGATTACGAGCAATATGTAGTGCGGATTGATTGTCACAATAAAGAGGAATAGCTTGAGGATGATGAACACCCAAGCTGAGTAGCAAAGCTTTGAGCCATTTCAATTCACAGGTAGCAGCAGCCATGGAACGATATTCCGCTTCAGCCGAAGAGCGAGCAACTGTAGTTTGTTTCTTGGTTTTCCAAGAGACAGGAGAATGTCCGAGAAAAACCAACCAGCCAGACAGAGATTTTCGTGTAAGAGGGCAAGCTGCCCAATCAGAATCACACCATCCTGTTAGAGTAAGATCACCATCAGCCCGAAGAAGTATGCCCTGTCCTGGAGAGCCTTTGAGATAGCGAACAACCCGGAGAGCCGCATTCCAATGTTCAATGCGAGGTTGTTGTAAGAATTGAGACAGGATATGAACAACATAAGCAAGATCTGGTCGTGTAACAGCTAAGTAAATTAGGCGACCCACAAGTCTGCGATAACTCTCTGGATCTGAAACAAAGGGGCCAGAGGCACGAGCCAGGTCGTGATTCTGCTCAATGGGAAATGTCGCCGGCTTAGCGCCAAGCAGTCCAGTTTCAGTGATAATATCCAAAGCGTACTTTCGTTGAGTAAGAAATAGACCAGAAGAGCTTCGGGCAACTTCAATGCCCAAAAAATATTTTAATTTTCCCAAGTCTTTCATGTGAAAACAATCACTAAGATAACTCTTGAAAGAGGCAATGGCATCAGAATCATTCCCAGAAATGATCAGATCATCCACATAAACAAGTACATTCAACTGAATTTTGCCACGAGTGTGGGTGAACAGCGAATAATCAGAAAAGGACTGAATGAAGCCATACCCTTTTAGAGCAGTAACCAGCTTGGCAAACCAACAACGCGGCGCCTGTTTGAGACCGTACAATGATTTGTGAAGACGACATACCAAAGTGGAATCCTTAGTGGTATAACCTGGAGGTAACGTCATATAAACCTCTTCTTGGAGATCACCGTGGAGAAATGCATTGTGTACATCCATTTGGTGAAGCTCCCAATTTTTACAAGCAGCAATCGCAAGAAAAGCTCGAACAGTCACCATCTTGGCCACCGGGGCAAATGTTTCATTATAGTCAAGTCCAGCAACTTGACGATTCCCAAAAATAACTAAACGGGCTTTTAGTCTCTCCACATTGCCATCAGATTTATATTTTATCTTATAAACCCAACGACAACCTAATGCCCGTTTACCAACAGGAAGTGGAACTAAAGTCCACGTAGAATTCCTTTCAAGCGCCTGGATTTCAGTGTTCATGGCATCTCGCCAGTCAGGATCTTTAACAGCTTCACGGAAGGATTGTGGTTCTATGCCAGAAGAAACAGCTGCAAGAAACACACGGTGTGGTGCAGAAAAATTATCACAACTAACATAGTGTGAAATAGGGAAAGGAGTACCTGAGGAAGCCGGAGGTGGTGGAGAGGAGGAATTAGGACTGTATTTAATCACTGTATGCGTAACATAATCCTGCAAGCGGACCGAAGGTTTCTTGAGACGGTGACCACGTCCCAAAGCATCATCATGTGCTTCATGAGAATCCTGTGTACCCGAGACTGGTTCTTCTGTGGTAGGTAGAGCGGAAGAAGTATTCGTTGTAAGAGTCGGAGCAGGAGGTGTAGCAGGGACGTCCTCATAGCCCAAAAATTCTGTAACAATCGGATCAGGCGGTGCGGGTGCGGGTGGATCCAACGGAATATCAACAAATGGAAATTGATCTTCAAAGAATTTCACATCACGAGACACAAAATACTCTTGTGTATCTAAGTCATACACATTCCATCCCTTCTTTCCAAAGACATATCCAACAAAAATGCAACGCCGGCTTCGACTAGCGAATTTATCTCCCTTAGATTTAAGATTATATGCGTAACACAAGCAACCAAAAATCCTTAAAGATTTATAACAGGGCGGTGTACCAAAGAGAATTTCATAAGGGGTCTTAAATTGGAGCACTGAGCATGGGGTACGATTAATAATATGTGCTGCCGTTAATACACATTCTCCCCAAAAAGATATCGGGAGATTAGCTTGAAATCGCAAGGCACGTGCTACATTTAGTATGTGTTGATGTTTTCGTTCAACACGCCCATTCTGTTGCGGTGTTCCCACACAAGAGGTCTGAAAGATAATCCCACTAGCACGAAAAAACTCTTTTAAACAATTAAACTCAGTACCATTATCACTTCTCACAATTGAGACTTTCTTAGAAAATTGCCTTTCAACCATGGCTATAAAAGACATAAACATTTTAAAAACTTCTCTTTTATCCAAGAGAAAATAAATCCACACCGCACGAGAACAATCATCCACAATAGTCAAAAATAATTTTGCACCACACGAAGAGGCTGTATTATATGGACCCCACAAATCACAGTGAATCAATTGAAAAATGTCTTGGGATTTATTGGTACTATCAGAAAAGAAATCTCTAGTATGTTTTGCACGAAAACAAATATCACAAGGAGAAGAGATTGACCCTTTTAAATCACGCACTGGATCCATATAATGAAGTACTTTTCCGGATGGATGTCCCATGCGTTTGTGCCATTTATGATTTATCAAGAGTAGACTGTGTATCTCCAGTCACTGTCAACACTTGTATAGCCGCAGTCTCCAAGAGATAATATAGTCCATTCCTCCTCTCACCCATTCCAATTAGCTTCCTTGAGGCTCGGTCCTGTATAACACACAAGTTAGAAGTGAATTGAACGAAACAGTCCAGTTCATCACTTAATTGAGTCACAGAGATCAAATTACAATTCATCCTTGGCACAAAAAGAACATGTCTCAAACAAAGACCATCCGAAAATCTTACACAACCTTCATGCGTTGCTAGGACCTTTTGTCCGTCCGGTAAGCCAACCGAACACGAGTGGATTGGTTTCATATCAAATAAATATTTTTTATCACTACAAATATGATTCGTAGCGCCGGTGTCTATTATCCAAGAAGTAAGACCCGACTTACCAGTCATTTGGATATTAAAGCTTTGTGGGTTACCAAATGTAGAGCCTAACGGCCGCCACTGTTCTAGTGAGAAACCAGGGAACGGTGTAACATCTTCTTTCCCCAATTTGTCTCCATAAGCAGCATTGTGTCTTCCTTTGGCATCATTGATCATGGCGTAAGCCTTTGCTTCAGATTTAGTTCGCTCAGTGTCGTTTCCCTGAGGTACTGGACCGAGAAAAATTGGTGAAGAATAATCCAACCAAGCTTTGTTCTGATCGCCGGCAACTTCACCGGCACCTTCGCCGGCACCTTCTTCGTCACCTACGGCCATGCTTGAGCTTTATGGCTCTGATACCATGATGATTTAGCAAACAATATGATAAACGGAATTACGAGAAATATTATGAATTCTTCGTATTCAACCTTCGTCCAGATACAGCATATAAATAGGCTCAAAACCAGAGAGATGTGCACGTAATGCTAGGCCTAAGAAAGGAAAAACAATCCTGGTGGTATACAATATATTTTCTTAACTAAAATAACAAAGCTTATAATAGTAGTAATATATGCTTGATAGTGGTGCAGTTTTTAAGAAAATTAAAATTAAGTGATTGATAATGAATTGATAAAGTGAGAATAAATTAAAAATGAATTAGAATCAGGAAAAAGTGCTCTTTTAGTTGCTGAAAAATGAAATGTCGGACCCGTATTTCTGATATTGTAAATGTCACCCCTCAATTGTCCAAATTGTTGTAAATGTAGTCCTTTAAGAGGTGAAATGTACTCTCGCCCACATTGTATATTGTACCCCTCAAAGGACCACATTTACAGCAATCAGAACAATTGAGGGACGACATTTACAAACTTGAAAATATGGGTCCGACATTTCATTTTCGTGACTATTTTAGGGATTAAAAGTGCGATTTTCCATTAGAATCACCTACAAATATTATCAAATATGGTTCATGTTTGTCTTTTGGCGGTTCAGCACCTACACGCGTTTGTAGTTCAAAAGAGAACGGCGTTTTCCTTAAACCGCCAGTATCGATATCCAAACATGCCCATGATATGTAACAATTAACTTTAGTGCGGCGGACTAAAAAGATAAAATAAGACAATAATAGTGGGTGAAAAAAGCATAAATGATACCTTAAACGAATCAAAACAATACCTTAACTATACATAAATGTTTCAACTTATAATAATATTCGAATTTTCGACCAAAAAATCACACGTGGCGGTTGGGATTCTATGCGTAAATTTTACTTCACCTTATGTTTGTCCATATGATTATTATAGGGTGACCCTACATATGGAATTTTAATCGCCATAAATGATTTTTTTGACTGCAAATTTGAATAAAATTTCAATTACAAACATTTGTGTATAATTATAGTACTAATTTGATTCATTTAAGAATTAAGGTACTGTAACACAAGAACACGGCTGCTCAAATCGTTTATGCATTTGAACCCTACAATGAACTATCGTACGGAGTAACTATGGGTATGTTTGGCACAACTAGCTAAAAAGACATTTTTACGAACTTTTTAGTAACTTTTAGCTTTTAGTGACTGAAAAGATCTTAAAAAGAAAATGTGATAGCTGTTTGGTAAAAAGGTGAATGTTTGATTTAGTTCGGTTTGATATACAAGCTGTTATGACTAATTAATACTAAAAGTCACGAGCTTTTCTCAGATGCTACACCCGGTAGCATCTCAAAAAAGATCTTTTAACTTTTGAAAAGCTCTTAAAAATGTCATGCCAAACATACAACTAGAGTCTTTTAAGGTCTTTTTAAAGAATAGAGAAGCTAGAAGCTAGAGCTTTTTGTGTACCAAACATAGCCTATGAACATGTTTGGCACACAAAAGTTTATAGCTTCTAACTTCTCTATTATTTAAAAAGATCTTAAAAGACTCCAATTGTGTGTTTGGCCAAACAACTTTTTTAGAAGTCCGTGTCTTTTTTAAGATGTTACCCAACCAAGCGTTGAACCAAAAGAGCTTTTCAAAAAAATTCCGGTCTTTGCGCGTAACCCTGCGCGTCTCAACTCCAAGCCTTTCATCTTCTTTAACACCACTGATTTTCTCTCTTCTTGATAAGAATTCGAAGGAATTCTTCAACCTTCTCTTCATCGATCTCTATTCTTAGCCCATGTGTTCATTTCTTTTTCTTTTAATTTTATTTATTAACTTCTAACCAAAGTGTTTTACTCAAACTTAATAAATTTGAGTAAAATTTATGTGAAATTCGAACCTCGTGTTGGTAGCTCTGTGTTTGGGCAATCAAATAATTTTTTTTATTCAACCATTGAAACAAATACATTATGGGCTGTTTTTGTCAACAACTAAAACCATTGTACGCAGCATTCAAAAAACGATTGGGACTATAAAAAGTGATTGTTTGGATAAAAAAAGATTTGTTTTGCATATTATGTAGTGTAAAAAACGATTATACAGAGTGTTGGTCTGCATTATTTCAAAAAAAAAAAAAAAAGAGTGTTGGTCTGCTTTTGTTTTTTTTTAGATTTTTGTTGTCGAATGGGTTAAAGAGATTGGTTGTAGAAAACTGGTTTATGCCCATCCTTGTATTAGTTGTATACTTATTTTTAGTGTGTTCAATAGTTTATATTTTTCCCAGAAAACTATTTGTATTCATTTCATAGAATCAAGTTAACTGATTGAGATTGCTACGAGGCTGTTTGTTTTTGCTACATTTGCTATTGATTTTATCATTTTTTAAGGTTGGTTTGTGGTAAAACTGTTCTTACCCTCTCGTATTTTCCTTTAAATTGAAATTAGTTATGGGCATATATTCTATTTTTTCATTAATTAAAAATGTTTGATCATACCCTTAATTGTAATTTTATAATTTCAGCTACTTGTGACAGCTAGTTTTGCCAAACAGTGCTATTTAAAACAGGCAGCTTTCATGAAACTGCTACAGTCTTTTTCATCTGCAAACTTTTCAGTTCAAAAAAGCGAACAATTACTAAAAAGATTAAAAAAAGATCCTTTCATCTTGTCAGGCCAAACATAGCCTATTAGACTAGTCAACTTTAGATTTAATAGTCATCTTTGTAATTGCGCAAATTATGCCGTGCAACCGCCATGAGGATGGTGTGCCTGGTTGCAAAATACCTATCACCTCCTCCCCCAAACACTGGAGTTACATGGCTAAAGTTACATTTTGTAACACACAGTTGACTTTTCAATTTTTCTCAATAGTTACATCTTGGTTACACTGGATTTACATTTGACATACCGCGAGTTACATCACAAAACTACGCAAGTTACACAACAAAAATCTCAATTATATCTAATTTGTTCCCCAAATTACATTTCTGTAAAAGCAGTTTACATTTAAATAAGTTACATGTGAATGAGTGCAATTTACATTTTGATTAACTTCAAAGTTACATCTCGAATCACACGAGTTGCATTTCACATAAAAATGGGTGCACCATGTGTTGCACGGTATAGCTACTGTTGTAATTGTAATCTTGTGGACTGTATCTTTTGAAAATACATTCTCTTCCAAAAATGGGAAAACTATAATCACCTCCATTAGTGATTACTGTATTATATATCAAATGGTAGCTAGTTTATCACATAAGTACTGCTAGAAGTACATTACTAGTTAAGGTAGACAGGTAGCAGCCAGACCAGAAGCGGCCGGGCGCGGGACGCTTCAATTCCCTCCTAGATCCTCCGATCCCCCTTGTATGGCGGAAAAGCCCGATAGCCAGCGATAGGCGGTAGGCCCTCAATTTATCATTGATGTTCTTCCTACATTAATTTCATAAAGTTGATCGAAATGCTTCTCCAAATATTTCTACTTTAGTTATTTATCAACAAGACAACAAAGAACATTCTACCATTTGAAACTGATATTACATATTTACAGCCTATGAAAATGGACGGGGCAGCCTACTTTAGTTCACCAATGAGTGATTTGGTCAAAAATGGACGGGGCAGCCTACCCAGGCCATAACTTTCGTCTTTCACCAACAGAAGATTCTCCCCAGCTTCTGGTTTAATTTTCAAGCTCTCTCCATCACATTCTTTAGTTCAATTTCAGCATTTGTACAATTAGAAGACACTCAAAAGCAAGCTTTTGATCCTGTTTCAAGCATTTTATTGTCCAGTTAATAAAATGATATAAAATCTAGGATTACACTGAGATCACTTGACTAGGCCATAAATTCCCATATGGGATTTTACAGCAATGATTTCCCAGCAGAGCAATGTGTTATAGAAAATGGCCGGGAAAGATAGAAAATGTCTCACCCTTACGCTTGCCCATTTTGGGAGCTTGTTACATACAGTGGCTTCTTTAACCACACGCTTCCAGGAAACACCATCATATTTATATCGCTCAAGCTTCTTTTATCATTCTCTTCAAAGGGTTCAAAGCCGAACCTCACAGTCCATGTCTCCACTAAACTGGGAATTGCAGAAAGCACCAGAGTCTCCACTTTCAAGGATTTTAGCATCTAGGGCCACATTCAGGTTAATCGTATAAGTGTATAACGCATAAAGCCGAAAGCATCAAACCTACCCCAAAATTTGATATGACACTACAAAAAAACGACAAAATTGGAACGGACTTGGCACGGATTGATCGAGTTTTGCACCGGTGACATAATAGTATTGGCACGGAATGTGGCACGGATTTGGCGTATCTGTGCCAAATCCGTGCCAAATATGTGCCAAGTCCGTGCTAATATCATTGTTTTTTGTAGTGTCAATAGCATAGAGGGGTGGGAGAAACAAAATAAGTGAGCTTCCATTCTAAGGCATTACATCTTCCCACATAACTCACTCTATGATTCTGGATTCTAACCCTTTCCTATGAGCTACGCCCCTGTAAATTGAACTTTATCCCAATTAATGTACTTGTATTTTATATGATCTAAATAAGATTTACGTGCAGCCCCAATATTAATTAAAATTTTTATTTCCGCTGATTTGAAAATTCTTTAAATGGACTTAAATAAACTAACGAGGAGATCATCTAAAGTTGTGCGTAGAATTGTAAAATTGTCTTTTCTTTTCTTTTTAGCCAAAAATATTATCTTTTGCATTACTCCTTTGAGTGTTATAAAAAGCGTATATGCAGGGATTAAATGAGAAAGAAATAATATCAAACAGTTTTTTAATTATAAGCTGTAAAGCTGAGTCAAATAAATTACTGTTTGGTTGAAAAGTCTCTTGATTTGGTGGGAATGATTTATAAACCAAATTTCTAGGATTGCCAAATTTGTCATATCCAAACTTATTTCTCAATTATGGGTAATTCTAAACATATTTCTCAAATAAGAGTATTTTTGTCATGTCATCTACTATGTCAGCACAATGGTCATATCCACTTATGTCTTGTTAACATAATGACCACTTCACATTCATTGATTGTTTCATATCATTGAATTCGGTGAGCGGAATAGATGAAAAACCATATAAAGTTGAAGAAAGAAAACGCTCTTCTATGTTGCATTTAGTTATATGAGTGAGGATAGCTCGACACTTGTTTGATAAGATTTTTAAAGTATTATATCATAGAAGGGAAATTGTCCTTACTAAAAAGTTTGTATATTCCAAAATAGGACTGTCATATTTTTATTCCCTAAATAGGAGTACTTACTCTCATCTTTTGACAGTATCAAACTTTAAACATGGCATTATTTTTCAAGCTTGACAGTAATTACTCATGTTTAGGGAACAAAAACATGATAGTTTGGAATTCCCAAACATTTTTACTCCTATTTCGGGAATTTCCCCATCATAGAAATACAGTTTACTTAGTTTAGCAGTTTACTTAGTTTAGCAGTTTACTTAGTTTAGCAGTATCATAGTTTCTTATTCTTATTAGGCTGAAGCTTTAGATTCTCACTTCCTACCCAGTCCACTATTTCCTTGTACCTAATAAGGTAATTAATACCTAATATAAACACTGTAATACACTCCAGAAGTAGTAAAGACATGAAGTTGAAAAGTCAGACATATCAATAAAGCTAGTGGCTAGGTTATTATTTGACAAAGATGTTTGGTTTTTTATGTACCTCCTCTATGCAATTCATAAGCCGGCGGCACATTCCCCTGTGGCGGTATTTGCTGCAAGTTGCAATTAAAGGTAACTCCGCTACCTTGGTCCCATGGATCCTGTTTCATGAGATGGTTTTTGAAAGATCAAATTCTGTCACTTCAAGGAGAAACAAGGAAAGAACATTCTTTTTTATATACATCTGAAAGGAGCAGATAGAATGTTGTGAAGGGTAGGCTAAATTTCATCCATTCATTCATTTAAATTGGGAAACATAACTCTAGGTGGCAAAAATTTGATGTAAAATGTGAAGTAGACAAGCATATGAAATAATATGGATAGTGTTATAGTTTTGCAGTGACTTTAAAGAAATGGGGAAAAGTGCAAACGTTGGAAATCAAGAAATATTGAAAAATATGACTAAAATATAAAATAATGGATTAAAATGTGATTTCTAATCGGATAGTTTAATAGTTTGGCAGTGACTGTAGTGACTATATTGATTTTGAATATTACATAGTGATCCATTAAGGACCATTATTGCGATATTTTGGCAATGACTGTAATGACCATTCATGTTTTTGTATATGAGTTTTATTTTAGCAATAATCTAGGGAAACTTTTAAAAGCTAATAGAACACTCTAGCCACAGGTATGGAATCTGAATGTCTTAAATTGTGGCCACTGTTGGAGTTCTCATGAATGTACTAAATTCTTCTTTCTCATTACTATTGTCTATATTGTGTTAGGAGCTTTGTTAGTAGGAAAGTAATAATTTTCTAAAGACACATCCTATGAACTTCATCTCTTTCTGAAGCCAGTAACAAAATACTCTATGTAAGAGGGTTTTCTTGTACAGTTGTAGTTTTTATTATAATAAAAGACATGGACAAAATATAATTACAAAACTATAGCCAAATCAAGAATACCATCATAGCCACTGCATAGTAAAATAGAACATTGGCATGATCACTACAGTCATTGCGAAACTAACACTATAATCACAGCGGTGTATATGCCACAATTTTTTAATCATACATTTTCATTATTTCTTTATTAAAAGAAGCTTGGACTATGAGTCACCTAATTGTTGCTACCGACACCATAATGTCATCGTCTTCTAAAACAACAGTGAAAAATCCGTGGTAGTCCAGACGTCCGAGCTGTGATCTGCAAAGAAGTAAAGTTAAAGACAGTACTTTGGAATATAATAAAGAGGGAATGGTGGTACAAAGTCTGCACACACCCCCAATTATAGATAACTTGAGGTATCATGTCTATGCCCGTTTTAGGATCCACCATTGGAAGAAAACTTTCCTCCATAATGGTAAGGGCCACTGCTAACTTGGAGTTGCATTCTGCAATAAAAGGACGAAGCAGCTGGTCCGACTGACTGTTCTGGTCATGCGGGATGCACTTCAAAAGTGTCCAGGATAAGCTATCACTCAGCTGATTCGGTAGTCCAATGAGAGACTTAAGATGGGTGTAAACCTGCATAAAGTGGATCAGAATGGACCATCGAAAAGTCGGTAAATACTACTAGTCTAAATAGCAAATTTGAACCTGCCAAAACTACTATGGCTATGTTTGGAGTGCGGAAAATGGTAGGGTAAGGAAGAAACTGATGCCTGGAAAATTAGTTTCTTATGTCTGGTTTAAACTTCGAAAGTATTATGGTAACTCATGAGTAGCTTTGATTACAATTATAAGTTGCTGATTTTCAATTACTTGCTGTTTTGTTCTGTGTCACTATATCAGAACATCACACTTAGCAGTTCTTTTGTAGTTAAGACTCTTATCAATGTGTAAAATTCCGTAAGTGCAATCAGTAATTCACAACAACAGTTCTTTAAAACAAGAACTGAAAAAGATTTAGCCATTTAGGTGTTGTGGTTCATAAATTACTACTAAACCTGTAAGACAGCCAAATGAATAGCATTCATCTGACAGAGAACATACAGAGCCGTTTTGTATTAAATGATTTAACTTCATGCATGACATAACTTATTGGTATTCTTCCATTTCCGAATTTCCTAAAAAGTACTTCAGAAACCTGATTTAATTAAGAAATTCCTTTAATTAATGCTCATTTGTTCATTCCATAGGTTGTTTATGGTTTAAGGAAACAAATTAAAAACATCATTTGTTTAGATATACTTCTAAATAAAACAGTCAAAATTAATAATTTCAAATGCAAAAGCAAGACAACTGGTGAAAACAGGTGAAGAAAAATTACTTATCTCTTTATTTTTCTTATAGTGAAGATAGTGAAAGAAAATTATATTATAAAGGGACGACTATGTTTACCTTTTCACATTGGTCACTACATGACCAGTGATCAGAAGCCACTCCACATTCCATGCCTTTCTGCTTCAAGCATGTTTCATGGTCTATCATAGATATCAAGACAATCCAGTAACAAAATAGAAGTCAAGAAAAACAGTAACTTACCACAAATTGAAAACAGGAAAGTAAATTATAGAAATCCATAGGGAAAGAATAAGGACTCATTGTGAAGTGAAACATTCACGGGAGAGCAAGCTTACATTGATGTTCACATTGTATACACTGTTGCACATTAGTGAATGCAGAAGCTTCAGTATTTTTTACCACATCCCCGCAGGCTCGGCATGTGCATCGCGGACAATACCAACTCCCTTCTGGAAGTTCCTGAATCCAGCAAGTCATAACTTTGATTAATGAATCCGTTCCTTTATGTTCAAATCAAGATATCATCTCATTCCGTTGAAGAGAAAGCAATACTTGTTAAACTGCAGTAACCGTAAGTCGTAACTCAACTAAGTAGAAGTAGCATTGTATTTAACATATGCAAGAGCTGGCATCCCATGAGACGATGATAGCTTTAGCCACTTCTGTAATAATTTTTAGCATGACAGTTTTAATTTATGCAAATGTTCTTAAAATTATCACATTTTTAACGTGAAACAGTCTCATGTTGGCTTTTATAGTTTTATTTGCAAACTTACATACTTAAAAGAGACAAAACAAGTGCTTTTTGTTAATTGAACAATGGAATTAAGATCCAATACATACAAGACGTAGATGCTATTATATGACGCGACCTTCCTATTGAACTTAGGAATTGAGATCCTACACACAAGAGATAGATACCAATATATGAAACAATAATCGTAGTATCATAGTCTGTACTTCATACTACACTAATTAAGTATATTCTATTAGTATAAATTCTACTTGACTTGCCATATATATATATATATATATATATATATATATATTCTATATCTGTATATACTATTACCATATATTTCACTCCTTTCAAGTTAGTGTATCATGCTCAACTTCTTAAATAACTAATCAATATTAATCTCATTCTTATTTAATGCCTTCGTAAATAAATTCCCCAACTGTTCTTCGGTTTCACATAACCTAAAGAAATGAGACCTTTTAATCATTTCTCTTAAATACATTACAAATGCAATGGACAATATGCTTTACTTTCTCATGAAAATTGGGATAGGATAATGGATATAACACAATTTGCAGCCTGATTATCACACCACAACTTGAAGACACAATAGTCGGAGGATTAAAAGTGGCAAAAACTCAAGTTTTAAATATGGGGTGCAAACTCATGTTTAGATGAAAAAGTGGGGTGTGAACTCCAATTCTGCCTAACTAGTTAGTATCCATTCTCATTTGTACAAATAACAATTATTGAATCTTTATAACAATACTTTCCCATGTCAAAGAACTATAGATATTTAAAGAACACTGAAGATTAAACTATAGTTATGAGATTACCAAGTTGAAATATCTACTTTCCGTTAGCCATCGTGGGTTAGATAGTTCTCAAACAAGCATTTAGTTAAGAAATAAGCAGCATCAAGGTTCTTAAGAACATAATCAGATTAGCAGAAGTAGCTACCAGTGTGAAGTCAAATGTTTAGTTAGGTACTTAGGTGTATCCTCACACTTCAAGATGACAAGCTAGAAATTTTAAGAGAGTGGAAAAATTAGGCTAACGGATTGAATTTATTATTACAAAGAAGTAAACAATAAAATGTCTAACCTTTGCATACAAGCATGCTTGATGAAATGTAGTCGGACAGTTATCACAACATATCAACTCCCCACCCTCACCACAACGCCCACAGCTATCATCATTTTGATCCATTGCATTAAGTTGTGCTGCTTGAGGATCTGGTTTCTTAGCCTTGTATTCAGCTAACCATGCCTCAAGCTGACACAAGATGAATGGCTTATTACCAGTTTTCATGAACAGATTCAAACTTGGATGGTTCAGCTTGCAACCTGCATGACTCTTGAACTTGGAGATAGATAGCACTTCACCACAACACTTGCATAATATACCATCCCTAGTAATTGAGCCATCTTTCACAACAAAACAACCTCGTGAACCTTCCCGATATTGGATCACTTCGTCAATCGAAATTGTCTCAGAATGAATCAACCATGACAACACTGTTCTTTGAGCATCAGCAGGCCACTTTCCATCCAAGGGCTGCTTCCCACCACCTCTTTTAATTCCCCGCAAAAGTAACCTGCAATGACCTTTTTGTTGTCTCTTCTTCCTTAGTGGTTTGGATCTACCAGGAGACCTATTTTTTGCAGAATCAGGTGCTTTATTTGTAAAGGTAGCTGATTTTGAAACACCAACACCTTTTACACACAACTTTTTACACATCTTTGGCCCACTTTTTATGCAGACACCCTTTTCAGAGGATGATTTAGCCTTAGAATTGGATGACACTGTGTCATATTGGCGTGGTTCTGACAGAAGTATCTTGGAAAGCAGTTTTGATTTCTTCTTTACCTTAATTTTAGGGAAGGATTTTGCACCTAGACATACATCTTTGATCAGAGTTTCTCCTTTGAATTCTTCCTCGTGACACAGATATAAACGTTTTCCAAAATTGAAAGAACTTGTATTATTAATGACTGCCTCTGTTCTTCCCCTCAAGGTTAAGGCTTCATTCCCTAAATTGACCGGAACTTCAGGCAAGCAACCGTCTTTTTCATTCTCCAATAGTCTTCTATGTTTGGGAGCAGGCCGATTGTCATTGTCCAGTGAAGACGGCAACCTTTTCTTAGGATCGTGAGGTCTCAAACTCTGATCAGAACAGTCTTTGTGTATAGATTTATCATCATTTAACACAATGCTAACTGCATTAAGAGAAGATTCATTAAACAGAATATTCACATATGAAGATTCTTTACTTCTTGAGGAGTCAGATTCATCCAGTTTCTTGGAGGAAGAATAATTGCCCTTGGACTTGGATAGTTGAGACTCAGCTGCATGATTCGTCAAAGAAATAGGTGAGAGGATGTCTTTACTAACACCATCTTTTTCATTGAACTTAGAGGGTTCAAGTTCTAAAGCATCCTTTCCGGCGATTCCTTTTTCTCTATTCAGTTGACTTAGCAACTTCCAAAGATAGCAACTGGAGATAACCTCTTTGTCATATGATTCAACTACATGTCGAGTCACAATGACAGAAGATGCTTCTCCAGTAACACTGTCCAAGGAACACAGTAAGTTTGCAGAACTTCCCACATGAGGCCTGGGGTTGGAAAGCTCTCCTCGAGAGCTTGCTTCCTTTGCGGAGTAAGAACTCCCATGCACAATAGTTTCTTGTTCATCATCATGTTCAAATCTAATACTTGCTGTCACATTAAACTTTCTTTTGCTTTCACTCTCACCAAAGAACACATCTTTAAAAATGTGATGCTCATTGAGTGACCCCTCAAATCCGTCATTATGCAAGCAGTAAATTTCTTTATGAAACATCCCCAGTTAGTACTACTTCGTTCCAATTTGCAATGATTCCAACCAACCTAGCAAAATAGTAAAACAATGGATTTGTATTTGTACTACATTCAAGTTTGAGGATGTAAAATATATCACCTCACTGGTCCATGGACCTTCAGAGATTTTTAGAAAAGTAAAATATATCACCTCACCTGACTCCCAAGTTACATATAGCATGAGAAAAGTAAACAGTGACACACAATAAATTATATAGAGAAAAAACACCAACGAAATTTAGAAGCAGTTATACTTACAACTTCCATTTCAGTCATTAGGGGTATGAATTTTCTAGAGAACTACTCTTTTTCACAGAGAAATGAAGTATTTTTACTTGCCCTGACTTTCAACTTCAGCTTTCAAATCCGTTACCATTAAATTCCGTGCATCTAAAACAAATCATAACTGTTTTCTTCTCATTCAAGGAACCTGTTTTAGAAACATCTGCTCACTTTATGAAGGGATGCCACTATTATGTAAAAAAAATAAAAAGAACTACTTATTTCTAATAAAATGTAATAAATTTAAGCAACATAAACCACATGATCCATTTTCTGAATCAACTCATGTTCAACCCATTATTCTTCATGATGTTCAACATGCACAAAATGTGTCAATCATTAGGAAGGACATTGGACACTAAGTGCGGGTATTTATTTTGAATGGCTCTCCTCTCCATTGTTTCAAATAATAGCCTTAACTTCCTATTGAATGTTTGAAACTTTGAAAGTCAACAAATCAACCACAAGCCCTTTCATGTGTCATTTCACCCTTTACTTTTTGTGGACTCATCTTACTCTTTCATACTTTTTGGAGGTTAAAATTATAAAACAACCCATGTATCATATATTTTCTTAAAATCCACACCAAACCCATATGTATATTACATTATGTGATGGAGGTAGTATTTACTTTTATTAAGGATTAAACATAGAGAAATAAAAATAGACATTCCCCTCCAAAACCCTTCTTAAAAGTGTAATTGATGCAAGGAAGCCCTACATGGAAAGAGCATATAATTAAACTGACGAAGAACAAATAGGATGAAGAACTAATGTATGATCAGATGAAGAACTCATGTGTTAGAGTATAAGTCATATATCCAAATATTGTAAACATTTGATTGAGATTATTTCCTAGATAGAATCAGATCATCATTATGGATAAAGCCATAAAGGTCCCAAAAAAGAATGATGTTGAATCTTTGAAAGATAAGGTAAAAAAACCAAAAGAAAGTGAAATGTATATAAATTCAAATAGGGGAATTATCATTGACCCCCTTGAGGTTTGATGTATTATCACCCACACCCTTGCACTATCAAAAATATATTCTTACCCCCTCACTATTCTTTAATGATGCTTAAGTAATTTTTAATTTATGTTTAGTGAAAATTATAGATATAGGGTTATGTAACTTTTGATTAGGTATGTTTTTATTGTTGTAGTTTTATTCAATAACAGATATGATTGAATAATTAATAATTTTATCCATATTAAAGACCTTTCCACCGTCAAGCGAATCTAATAAAACAAAATTGATCAAAATTGGTCTCACTCTAAATTGTTGGAATTATTCCTTTAAATTTGAAAAATAAATAAATTGAAAATAGCCGGCCAAAATATGTTAAAATTGGCTAACAGTAAAACAAACCAATCGAAATTAACCTAAACTAATTGTAAAATATATTTTGGTTCTCAGTTTCACCATTCTCAAAATTTACTGTAGATAAAAAACTGGTTAACATCCCTAATTTTAATTTCAGACTTCTTCTCACTGAAAATAAATTCATTATACGTATAATAATAACTTATAAAATAATATTTGACAAAATATGATCACACTTACATGTGACCTAGTAGTACACACAGACCTAGACAAAATAGTATTTCAGTTCAAGTTGGTTCCGCACCCAGACCAGGTCGTGTTAAAAATTTACAGAGGCTCGAGACTCATATCTCCCTCCCCACTTTTTTAGCTTTTAAATGAATCCTCAACCGTTTTAAAATGTTCCCCAATGATTTAAGTAGGTTTGCTTAAATTTTAATCAATTTTAGCATGTTGTGGTCGGCTTTTTCAACTAAGTCAGTTTTCATACCCAAACCCATAAAACGAACTGTCTAGAGCGATCTGAAGTCAGTTTTGATTGTTTTTTGTGTTATGAGGCTGGATTTGCGGTGGAAGGTCTT